TCTGCACACATTTAGACAAAGAGAGGTATGAAGTCCTGTAAGCTGAGTAATTTAGGTAAAGACAGTACTTGGGTCTATTAGCAGTGTATTTTCTGTTCTTACTAAGTACTGAGTTAAATATATACAAAAATGTCCCTCTAGCCTGCTCTTAAGACTCTATCTCTGGATAGAGAGTTTGAGATAATAAAGATTTTTTTTTTTTCTGTAGGACACTATTATGCTCAAAGCTATAAAATACGCTTCCATTGTTCCAGCTCCAGGAAGCTGCTGCTAGAGATTATGTGAACTACAATAAACAACTCCATTAAAGCTCCTGATCTCACCAATGACTCTTATAAGGTCCTGGATAAAAAGATCAAATCCTTTTTTTGAAAAAAGGAGAGAAAGAGAGAGTCTGGCAAAAATATTGCAAGCTTCTAGGAATGAAATGACCTATGAAAACTAAAGGACAAAGCATCCCTTAATCACTTAGGAATGCAAATCGCTCCAAGAACAGGCATCAGTGGAGATTATGAAACTAGGAGCACTAACATCCAGAATCAAAACTGCTGTAGCCTCCTCCCTTCATTTAGAACAGGCTTTTGGGGATCATGGCAGGCTGCAGTTTCAGTGTCAAAGGAAAGGACAAAGAATCAGTCCCATGGAGTGCTTTTTATAGACACAATTTGGGGATATTCTACTTTGCATGCAGTATGCCTTTGGCTGCATAAGATCTCCAAGCACTTTCATGTATTGTGAAGCACAAAATGTGAATAGTTTCATAAATGGGAAGCAACACTGATTGCATGATACTTGACAATATTTGCTGATTCAAAAGCATTAACAAAGTTATTTGAAGTGTTCTCTTTCTTCCCAGCTATCCCCTAAGTGCATCCCCCAAGCTGCTTCCAGATGCGTAGGGTCAGACACCTTGGAAGTAATACTGTTATCATGTGAGTATTTGATGAGTAAATCAATTACAGTTTGCAGTTCTGCACCATTTGCATTTTCTATTAGTAAGGTCTGCATTCTGATTTGGCATCTGTTGTCCACATAGGGCACCTGCTCAGAACTCACTATAGCTCTTGTTTAGCCCATACACAAAATTTCCTTTTCTAGGGAAGGAGCAATGTTGTGATGTGCTCCTGCATCTCACTCTAACATAGAGTAGGAATGCAGCCAGAGTTTGCATCCAGACTTAGGAGCCTGGGAACACTTCTAAGTCATCCAGTTTACTTGTACCCCAAGAATTCTGAAAACATCAGTACTCTTTACCAAAGTCAATTATAATCTTTTAAATCAAATTTCAGTTTAAAATATCTGAAATTTCTGTGTTCTATGCAGATTTCTTCCTTTGTAGAAAAAAAAGTTCAATTTTGTGCTTGAATTTCAGCATAGGAATAGGATATTCTCTACCAGACTCCAATTCTTGATCATCAGCATCATCCTGGGATTGCTGGGAGTTTGTAAGCTCCTATCAGTGTCAAAAAGCTAAATTTCTCTTTAACCAAATTTCAGTGGAGTCAGAAAATAAGAAGGCACTGAAGGCACATCCAGTTACAAGCCTGGATTGTAAAGTGCAAAGCAAGATGGAACAATGGATTATAAATTCTGGCATTGCTTGACATTAAGATTCTTCTGTCTGTGTGCCTAATTCAATAATGATCCACAGCAGAAGAGCATGTTAGTAGATTTGTGTAGTCTATCCATCACAGAGTAAATTATACTGAATGACTCCTCTCTGGGTTAGCTGAGGTAATGAAGAATCTGAGGAAGTAAAGCGGGAATAGTTTGTCAAGCACTCTTCTGCTATTTGGAGTCTGTGAAACACCAATGGGTTTTGGGAGGTTCTATTCAAAAGAGAGGAAATCATGGCCATTGAGGCTACCAAAACATATTTGTCGACTGATATTTATATTGAACAATGTTTTTTCGTTCTGTTGTCTAAATCACAGGCTAATGGAAATGTCATTAGGGATAAGATATTCAACTGGTTTTTGTTTTATTTTTGACAGCGTAAATCTTTGGAGATGGTAGTAAGAGAGGTGAATGAAATCAGGGAAAAGTATTTTAATCCTGTCTTTGAAAACTGTGGGATTCAAACAAACTAGAAGATGGAGAAGGGGAGCTAATATACAGCTTGTGTTACAAAACGTTCTACTTCTGTTTCACGTGTAATATGTGCCTAACAGAGTGGGTGCGCAAAGCTCACCAAATCATCACTGTATAATAGTTTTCTCTTTTATCTGTGCATAATTCCAAAACAAAACCAGCTCACTCATTTCTCCTTCAGGTGAAAGCGTGACTGTGTCTCACAGGTCAATGAATCCATTCCCGGATTATCTTGGAAGAGAATTCCAGTGTCGGGAGTCCTCCACTGAAAATATCTCAATAACAACTGCCTGACAATTAAACCCATGTGCTTCTTGCTCAAGTGCCTGTTAACCTCTACTGTCCTGGGGAAGATGAAGAAATGGAAGAAGTACATTTCAAGTGTGTTGAACTGTGCTAGTCTACATGTGGTCCTGCAGGTACTCTGTCCTGGGATGGCATAACTCAGATGGTGTACCTACTAGTGCATTCACTTATAGCTTGCCAGCCCCAAGGACATTCCCAGGAAGAGGGAATATGGTGTTCTGGAAGTCAAGAAGATAAAGCTGAGCTTGCCACACTTCAGTCAAGAAGGACATAAAGTACACCCTCCCATACTGCCAACATTTTGTGGAAAGATAGACAAACACTCACTGAGAAAAGGAATCTCTGTTCTCTGGTGCTCCGTAAGATTTTACGTATTCCTTTGTTAAAATTATCTCTGTCTCACTCAGATTAAAGCTCAGTAAATTTGCTCACACCTACCTCTCAAGCTCAGTCAGACTTTTTATGGGCAAAGATACTGTTCCACCTGAGCTTTGCAAACTGCCTATAATCAGTATAATGCTGCTACAGTAGCCTAAATCATTTCAGCACCTCTCCGGTAGAAGTAGGGCATAGAGAATCTCAAGAGACAGAGAAAGGTGGAAAAACAGAGGCTATGCATCATATACTTTGGACGATAACTTGTCCCAATCCATCTAGATTTTTGACCAGTCTAGGAGACAGGGTCCTACAGGAATACAAAATAGAAATACAGGGCAAAAAAGGAAAACGGAAAAAAAGAACTTTAAAAAATGCTTATAAACTGGTAAGTTTTGGAAAGAAATTGTAAAAAAAATTACAGTTAAGAGTTTTCTTCCCAGTTTACATCAGGCAGATATAAACTATCAACAGATGGGAAAGCTAAATCTTGACTCCAAATTTTGCAGCTTGTGTTATGTGATGTTAAAATGACTTCAGATCAAAAAATTAGGGCCAACCTTTATGAAAAGTGCAGTGAATCCCACCAATCAGTGGTTAAGCAAAGAGACTATAAGGGGCACATACTGTTTATAACTGTTGGAGTTCTCACACTACAAGTAGAACAAAATCTCTCAAGCATACTAGATTTTGCAGAGAAATAAGGATTTCACCTACAGAAGGATTGCGATATTTTACTTGGATGAGACAGAAGACTACTAAACAGCTGAGTATTTTCTTCATCAGAAACCAAGAATATGAGGACGAGATCCTCCCCTCTATATCATTCATCTTCACATTGGGTTCAAATTATGGTCTTGTTCATGGTCAGAAAAACTCCAGAATAAAACACTAGTGCAGAAATTGACAGCATGATAAAAGTATTTATCCTATTTAGCTGATATTTAGCTAAATAAATTCTGCCCCCCTCAGACTAGCTCTTCTTAATTTATTGAGAGCGATGTCTATGAAAGTTCTGTATCTTTTGATTTCTTGTACAGAACTCTGTAGGTGCATTTTTAGAAGTCCAATTACGTACTAATTGGGCTTGTTGTATTTGTCATTTTTCTGATGAGCTCAAAGAACTCAAACAAATTTGAATAGCACAGTATTTGTTTCAGGGAATCCATGCCAGGTTCCCCTATAATTGTCAGATATTAGAACTTAGGAATACTGTAACCTGTCTTTAGTCATTGTCTCAGTCAAATTACTTGGTATTGAAGAAAGAATGGTTTATAATTCCCATCACCTACTTAATATGTACCTCTACTATTCTCAGATACATTTTAATGACAGAGAACCATAGTTTGCTTACCAGCTCATGTACCTCCTATTTTAGTTGCTTAAGGTTGCTGAACAAATGCTCTGCAACCCTTACTATTTAAGGTGTTCCAGAATCTTCTCTTGACACCTCTTGAGTTTTATTTTACCTTCATTATTTGAAAACATAGCTATTTTTGTAATATCTTCTAGATGGAAGGCAAATATAAAAAGGTTATTTAACCTCAGCTGAGGTGTATATGTCCTCCTTAGAAGCTTTCCAACTTCTCAGTAAGTCTAAAAGATTCAACAGTTCTCAGACCACCATTTTTTGCTCAAACTTGTGGAAATGACTTTAAATATAATGTAAATTGTTTTTAAAAGAAAGTAGAGAGGTCTTCATCAAAAACCCAGTTACTTAACATACTTCCACAGGCACTAACATATGACATCAACCAGGCTGATAGGTCTGGTGATGCTGATGGTATAGCTGCTTTCATTTCTGCTGTACCCTATGTCACCCAAGACCTATTTCAATCAAGAAGAATAATTCAGCAAACTGCATCGTCCTTTGTTTACATTTACTGTTTGACTCAGATACTGAAAGAGCACCTTTTGTGAGAGAGAACAAAAAGTCCTGAAGTCTAAAGGCCTTGTGTTATCTAGTGCTCAGAAGTGGTTTTGTGATTTGAGGTGTGCACTGAGTGGTTCCCTCTAGAATGAACTCATAGGGGCTTGCAATTGCTGGGGATAGGCATCGGTCACCCAGATGGTTTGCAGTATTGGACCTTAACCTCACAGTAAGAGTGAATAGACTACAGAAGTCTCTGTGATATTGTTATTCTGTTGGCCCAGGCAAGCAGGCTTAGGTTCAGCCAAGTATCTGACAGCAGGTCATGTGAGTCAGAGAGCCTGAGGCCAGCGGAAGATCTGGGATTTGGGAGAGCAATTGGCACCTGAGCCAGTGAGCTCTCTGTCTTCTCACGCGTGGAAGGGTCCCAAAGCAGAAACCCACAGCTGAGACACCCAGGCTGCTTCTATTTCTGTGGGAAACAACAACCTCCATGGCTGTGACCTCTCAGGAAGCCTGTCTATATGAAGAAGGGTAAGTTAGGCAGATATTAGGATGCCACAACCCCCAATATATAAAGGCTGCATGTCTTTCCAGGTATAAACACCAATGTCATCTAGTTTACAGGACTGAAGATGACTCTGGATTTTTTTGGTAACTTAATTCCTACCCTACAAGGAAATAGAAAGAGGGTCTGATAATGGATGGAGACTAATCAGGGAAAGTAGAGGTGTTGATAGTCACCCTTCATTATTGGACTGATCTTTCTCTCCAGCTGTCTAAATCGGAAGAGAAACTAAATGAAATCTTTCAGACAAATATTTCAGTACGAATGCAAAAATGTATTATCAGTGTGCCCAGTATTGACTGTAATGTTTCTACAGTTCCCTATTAGAAGGTGGAAAAGACCTCCACTAAACATGGTCTGGTATCTTTTATAAACTTTCCTATTGTACACCGTGTACAGTGAAAACTTAATCTGTGGCGACCCAAGATCACCATTAAGTGGAATACTGTGGTACACTGCATTTCAAAGCATTAGCAAAGGTAAATCCCAGGTCAGTGGATGACGAGATGCGGAATTTTCTTTAGAGAGCTTAAATGGGACATTGTTGTTGAGATCCCCACGTTCGCAGAGGGATATCATGAAGGAAACAGCTCTAGCAAACAGCAGAAAAGACTGCAGAAAAGGCTAAGAAAAAAGAAATGGGAGAATAAGTAAAAAATAAAAATAAATAAAAAAATGCAACGTGGAATGGGAAAGACAGCCAAGAAAAAAATGTTAATAAAAGGTATTGGATGAAAGCCCAGAACAGAAGTACAACAAATACAAACAACTAGCAAATGTACACACAACAGGGTGAAAATCCACAGAGGATGGCAGAGTCCATCCTCCCCTTGCATGCAGAGCTGAACAGATAGAGTTACAGGCAATTCTGGAGACCAGCAGCAGTGAAACAACAAGAGTATAAGCATTTCTTTCAGGCCAAAAGACATAGAGAGAGCAATGTCACCTGTGAAGTAGTGGGAAAGGAGATGGTGTTCAAAATGGCTACATGATTTAAATATTCCATGTGGCATTTTTGAAGATTCTTTTCAGCATGATAGAATAATAAAACGTCTCAAAACAAGCTTTCTCAGTAATTAGAAAAATGCCCACTTGCTATGCAGTTTTGTAAAGCGTGCAAGGGACTTTTACCCAAGATTAGCAAAGGAATATGAAAGTAGAAGTTTCAAATATTTTTAGTACCTCCTGGAGATAAATAATTCACAGGTATTGGTTTACACAGCGAAATCTCTTTTTTTCCTTTTTGCACTTTTTCAGGTTTATTGGTGAAATGATTTCAACTAATAACCATTGAAGATTATGGTTTATGTTTACTCTAAAATGTTTGTGAGTTCTTTACTAAAATGCTTGATATTCAGTATTCAGAGTTTGAACTATGGGTTTCAGTTTGAGTTTGGTCGTAATGTTATAGTTATTTCCTGACTTGATGAGCATTGCTTTTACAATCAGGAAAGATTTAACAAGTCTCTAAAGAAAGAAAGTGTTTATATAAGATTGAAAGTTTTACACAGTTGTAACCCTTTTTATCCCAGTATAGATCTTAGTTTTGCTGATAGAACAGGTGTTTAAGAACAAGGAGAAGATGCAGTCAATGGTAAAATACATTAACTAAGTGTTAGTTTTAAAGTTTTCTCCTTTAGAACTAATATTAATTGTATCTGCTGATTCAGACCAGGTTGTAAAGAATTAGTTTGTTTATTTCTTTCTCTGTAGTTCAAGTTGGGATTTGTAATGCTGCTTCCCCTTGTGGACCCAGAAATATTTCTCTCAGTTTTTAAAAAGTTGCGGTTCCGTGGCAAAAACATGGACAAAAGAGTTAAAATTTCTTATCCTCATGTATTAAAATGTGCATGCTTCAGATACTTGAAAAGTGATCGTGTTAAGTACTTCGAGGTAATTCACTTCTGAACAAGCAAACATACACATAGACAGATGTTCATATGTAATTGGAAGACGGAATAGTTTTAGGTGAAAATGATTTTTTTGTTTCACAGTAGAAACTTCTGTATGCAAAAAGGGGGAGGGATAAAAGTAAAGCAAAAATGGCCAAAAGGAAAAGCTATTATCTACATTTAAAATTAAATAAAGAATTTTGTAGGAGAAAAGAGGATGGGAAAGTACTTTGGAACAGTTTTCCTTTAGACTAAAAAAGATTTTTAAAAGTGGTAAGTGGTCCTGTTAATCCAGTTTCAGTTTCCCAGACTGCTTAAGATGTCTCAAGTCAGAGAAGGAAGATCTGAGGTATCTAAGATCAATTACCACTTTTAAGAGACTAGGACTGTGGTAGAAAAAATAGTCAAATTCTGTCTATCTTGTTCAAATCTGCATCACTTTCTTGGGGCAGCAAAAATCCCTCCCTTATTCCCAGGTCATCTCTCATGAAAAATTTCAAATACCTACTCAGAAACATGCACATGGTGAAGATTTACACAGAAGAGCTGGAAGAGTTTACAAAAACAGGCTAGCTTTTTCTGATTGTTCACAGAAAAGTCTTGCCTCTCTTTATAAATCACCTAGAAAATTCGGTGACAGACAGAGTACAAGCAAAGAAAATTTCCTCTCAAAGCACAGAAGTTTGACAGAATGATAAACAGAAGAAAACAATGGCATATAATGGGAAGGATTAGGCAGTCATAATAGGTGATACAGACATCTCTACCTCATTAAATGGAATCTACTCAAGAAGCTTTCTATGTGAAGAAACATTTCTTCAGCCAGTTCCCTCTCCTAACCACTGCCTTCCTCTTCACAGATAGTCCGAGTTAAAAATAAAGTAGTAGTAAAATTCCTCTTTTTTCCGATCAAGACAAACAAAAGTCACAAATCCTCTTGTCTCAGGGTTAAACCACAAACCCGCTGGCCTTTGCCTGCTGGGTCAAAGCAAACAAATTCCTAAATATCCTTTCCTCAAGTTCTATACAAACAAAAACCTCCTGCTCTCCTTTTCTTCTGGCCGCAAAAGGAGAAGCCCCAGACCTCTTTTCTAAGGGTTCAAACAAACTCATGGATGTCTCGGGATAGTTCCTCTCAGCAGATATTTCCGCCTCCCTCCACATAGCTAGCCTGTTGCAATTTTCTTAGCCACTTCTGACAGATGATGACGCAAATCAAATTTCTCTTACTTTTATATATTCCAGAGCTGTGTCTGCCTGGAGCTGTGTCTCCTGTCAATAACTCGTCAGGAGCCAGTCTGGTATGCCTGATGCTCCGTTTCTCAGACAGGGGAATGGATCTGTTTCATGAATGAAGTAATGACAAAAAGAAAAGTCATCTTTGAGGGTAAGGAGACTTCACTGAACAGTCTGAAATATGGCACTGAGGCAGAGGTAAGTAAGCAGGGACATGCTAAAGGGTCTCAGTGGGCTGTGGCTGATGTCATGGAACTAGAAACCAACTAGGACTCACATACAACTGTGACTTAGTGTAACTCTTTATTCGAAAGCTCCCCACAGATGGATGAGGCCTTTTTAGATGTCTTTCCAAAGCTACACACTGGTACACCCTGGTTCTAAAGACATTATAGTCCTGGTTTTGTTTACATTTGATTAAACAAAAGGTGGTATCCTGAGTAGAAAATCCTGTGGACTCTGTGAAAGACTGTTTCAACACTTAGTTAATGAATCAAGCCTTAGAGAGTGCGGTGTTATGTGTGCCTACCGTTTCTGTACGAAGAGCGACAAGAAGCATGATAAAGCTCAATCTGGGCTACATAGATGTTCCCTTTAAAGAAAATTTCTTACTGACCTGAAGGAGGATTTGGGAGGGGTGAGCTCTGTTTTTTGAAAAAGCCAAAAGAATATAGTGAGGCCTTGAACAGCCAACAAACAGAAGGATCACTGTCAGAGCTAGACTTCTCCACTTTACACGAGGCAGCTCAAATACATTTTAAAAGAAACAAATTATTATATGCAGCTGCACAAAGGAAAGCCCATTTTGTGGATATGCAGCAGTTCTCCAAACACAACTGCAGTTTCAAGTGTGTCTTAACAATGAGAGACATGCTGTATAAATGCGCCTGGGCTTTAGGATCAGCAGATAAGATGGGCAATGAAGGCTCCGAGGCCTTTCAAAACATTTTTTGCTGAAAGAAGTAAAGCTCAGAAATTACAGACAGAGAGGCTTAAAGAACTTTTCAAACAGATCTTTAAGCAGTTTGTTAAAGTAACATAATGTTCACCATTTTGTTACCGATAATGAAGTCAAAACTGCAGTTACAGAGTGCTTTAACAGAACTTTAAAATCTAAGATGTGCAGATATTTTACAACCCACAACATCTTTACTACACTGTTACCCACATTTATAAAGTGCTCTAATGGCATCTTTTAGAGAATTATGTTTACCAATCCTGCTTATGTAAAACCCTCAACTCACTAGGATTTAGAAAGTATTTTATGAAGGCTTAAAGGAAAAGCACCCCTTTTTACAAAAGGAGACCATGTGTAGGTGTCCAAAAAACAAAAGAGCTTTTGAAAACATCGGGAACAGACATTTACAGATTACATGTTCATACTACATGAAGTTATTAACAAACAATCATGTTCAGGATAAAAGATTATGAGGATAAGATGACTTGCTCTTTTTACCCAAACAATTACAAAAAGTTAATACCAAGCACAGAAGACTTTACATGACTGCAAAAACTGTAGATGTGAAAGGAATAGACAGGAAAAAACAATTATTGGTAAAACTGTTGGCATGGCCTACTCAATTCAATAGCTGTGTGGAAGTGACTTAAATCTGTGCCATTTAGATATTAGGCATTGCTGGAAGAAAATAAGAGCAATGAATGTTTTTACATCCTTCTCTCCAGAAACACTAAGGCTAGATTTTTCCTGTAAAACATTAATCCAGGTTTTACAATGCAGGTTATTAAATGCTTAGAAACACACTGCCCAATTGTAATTGGAATAGCAGCAGTAGAGAGATTCCCTTTCAAATTCTGCTGGTGAATAAGAAGCGGACATGTTTCATGCTACTATTTGACCATTTAGTCCCCAGATGAACAAAGTCTTACTGATTCAGCATATATCCAAGGTTCCAAAATCAAAAATATGGCACAGAGAAAAAATTATCCTGATAAGGCTTGTATGTTTTCTACTTGTGATGAGCAAGCTAGTATCGCCGGCTGCTACAGATTTCAGCTATTCATAAATTTCCCTTTACCACAAGCATTATCAGAGGATTCAACTTTTGGTATGATTGCATGGTTGCTACAGAATACAAGTCCACGGGAAACTCCTCTGTATCCCTGTTAGTGTCCTTATCCAGAAAGAACAATGTGTTTGCCCTCACTACATATGGCAATACTTTAGGCCCCTGTGAGTAACAATATCATTACATTTGAAAAAAAAAATCAGATCAGCCAAGTTTCGTCTCATTTTGCTTCATAAAAAACGGAGAACACGTCACCTTTTTCCTTTCTAAAATTGTGAGAGGTAATTGTTCTATCTTTTTGCTCATCCAGGACATGAACTACTCACTTGGAATCTTTCTTGGCCCGAGAGGAAGCAAGCCTCTATTTGTCATAAGAGCTGCAAACTGGAAAAGTGTCTCTCTGTAATATAACCAAAGTCACTGAAGAAAAGGAAGTCTGCTGGCTAAGACACTAGCTTAAGAGGGAGAGACCAGTATTTTGACCCATGTTCCAGGGACTGTATATATATTTTACATTAAACAGGTAAAGAAAAAAACATAATTTGAGATTCACCCTCTAAAGTTATAGTCTGAGTTGTATGGTAAATTGTAGGAGGCAGAAAAAAAGAAGAATGTTTTTCCTTGCGTAGCTGTAGTGGAGTTAGACCTCTGATTCCTACAAGATACTTCATTCTGACAAGGCTATAATTCTGCTTAGCAATTGTAAGTTGGAGTTTTGGGATTCTGGGTTTTTTCCTCCTTTCACTCTGACAGCACAGCTGTACAAAGCATACCTGTGTCTGAGAGTCAAGACCAGAAATGGCCTCAGGAAGTGGAAGAAATAAAGTCACATGGATGTGATTTACAATGATGTGATTTACCTGACTGATTGTAAAAGACACTGAAAAGTCTCCAGTCATTCTTTGCATCTTGCCTAGTGCTCAGGTAGGTCCTGGTAAGGGAGGCTGCTGTATGACTTTTCCTGGCTGTGGCTATTGCACATGTAGTCCATCATTTCCAGCACTAGCTTCACTGTGTTATTCAGTTTTAAAGGCACTGATAACATTCTTTAGTTCCTCTGGGCAGCATGGCTAAGAAGCAAAGGCTTCTGGCTGGGTGGCTGTAGGAGAAACTCCTGTTCTGCTTCCTTTTTTTTCTTTTGTCTTTTGTTGAGCTTTTAGAACCCCTCACGGCTACAATAATTTTTATATGCATTGCTGTAGGCTTCCTACCCATGTGCTAGCTCTGTACCAAGAATGCTAGTTACTGAGTCAAGCCATTCGGTGTTTACGTCTGAGGAAGTTGAATTGCTCTCCCATTTCCACTGACTGCATCAACCAGACACGGTTGAGCGTAACAAAGGCCTAGACTCCTAGCCCATATGTGGACATCTACCCGGATATATTTAAGTGCAAGTACCTTAATCCAGAGCTGAGGGAGTGGTGGTTTCTGCACCGTCTAAGAGATGGTATTTTCTGTACACCGGTAGCCTTACCATTTTCAGGATCTTAGAAGGCATAACAGTTTTCTTCTAAAATTGAGAGAGCAAGAAGATGCTTGTCTGAACGTTGAGTGAGTGAGTAATGGAGGTAGTTTTCCTGGCAATGCCAAAGAAGATGGGGAATAGCCACAGAAGAAGGTGGGACACAGTGGAGGGATGCCCTAGTCCTTTTCAGTAGACTACATGCTACCCTTTGGAATCCTTGCCTTCCACAGCTCACCAGTAGGTAACAAGTCAAGGAATTAGGCTGAGGGTGGGAGTGGCACATAGAGAGATACTGAAGAGGTCAGTCTAGAGATGTGCACCACAGGCATCTGGAGGAAATGCAGCAAAAGTTAGTAAATAATCAAAGCTGCTTTCCCGCCCTGGAGCAAACTTGAAATGCAATACATGAAGCTAGAGCTACAGAGGCACCCAGCCTCTGTGACCACAGCCCAGAAAATTGCATCTGAGGCCAGGCACTGAAGTTACAGCCTCCATCCCTCTGTTACCAAAATAAGTATGAACCTGACACTGTCAGACTAAATTTCAAAGAAAGACCTGAGGAAGATCACCAGCTTTGAGCCCTTTCATACAGAAACCAGAGTTTCTTATTCACTTGGAAATGTAGATGAAGCCATATATCAGCGCAGTTCATGATGTAAACATTGTAAAAGTTTTTAAGAGGCCTTCAGGGTGCGCATCAGGCCCTGGCAGCCCTCTCCTAGAAAAAGCAGGATCCTACAGAGATCCAACACCACAGCAAGTGCTGTTTAGCACTCCCAAAATAAGACTCCTTAGACTGCTCCCTCCGCCATCAGTCAGGAATAGATTGCACCTCCTTCGTCTTCCTGAAGATTATCCAGAAACCATTCCAGTTCTGTTATGGCCATCTGGGGGCCCAATCACACAGAGTGACATCCAGAGAGGGTTCTGGAGGCAAGTGTACACATCTATGGAGCCACCCAAGAACACACTCCATAGAGATCAGCTCCATTGCAGAATCAGTAAGCACCAGTGACCTTGCACTTTCAGACAAAGGGGCTGCAGCTCATCTTGTTGCAACAGAAGCAGCTGCCACTACAAACAGGAATACATGCTGGACTCCATCTTTTTTTCTTATCCTATCCCTTTAGCTTACCAGGGCAGCCTTGCTGACAGTGCTGAGGCAGCAGTGTCCCCACTGCCAGGTGCTCCAGCAAAGGCTGAAGGAAGGTAGCAGCTGTGATCATGTTCTCTGCAGTCACTGTCCTCCTGTCCACATTGCAGGGGCAAAGCTGCCAGAGCGAAGCTTGGCGTGGATGCTAACCAGATGGCTTTGGTAATGATGGCAGGTGGAGGAAGGAGTCACCAGAGAAGAAAATCAGGGAGAGAAAATGAGTTTGAACACTTCTCCTCACTTTTGCAGGAGAAGGAAGCAAATGCAAGAAAAGAATCATAAAGTCAGAGAGAGGAACACAACACAGTAAGGGAAGAATTTCTCTGGGACTGACAAGGAATGTATCAGTGGGTGGGCTGGTTAGATATAAGGCAAACAGATTTGGGGAGGCATCAGCTGTGTGAGGCAGGATAAGGGAAGTGTAGGTAAGGGGACAGAGATTTGGACAGGGAGGAAACTAGCAACCTGGAAAGGCCAAAGAGGCTGGAATAGACTGTAAATTGTGAAGAGAAACTGCAGAAGACAGAGAAGACTGTAGGTGAAGTATTGATTTGGGATCTTTTAGTCAATAGTAGGACTGGATACTAAGAGGAAGAGGTAAGGAGATAAGCAAGCCTAAGGGATGGGGAGGCTGAAGGGCATGACAGATCGACAGAGGCAGGGCAGGGCCCCACCTGTCCCAGGCAAACCAGTGAAGGCAGGAACAGAGGAAAATGAAAGGCAGTCTTTGAAGAAGAGTGACCAAAGACAAGCTCTCCATGGCACTGCCACACTCAGCCAGGCTGCAGTGCAGGGCCCTAGCAGTCCTCTACAGATATGCCATGTAGCGTCCAGTCTTTGAAGAGCAGGAAAGGTGGATCTCAGCTCTGCTCCTACCAAACAGTGCACTTCCAAGGGCATGTTTTCTGGGTCCTTCCTTCTCTGTACTCCTTACTTGGTGCTCGGAGGTCTGACTTGCCCAAGTGCTGAGCTCTCACAGCTCTGTAAAATCCAATGGGACCTGTGCTTTGTGCCTAAGCAATGTTGCAGAGTGGTAAGTGCTCTGAAAAGCCTGGCCTATGCGTGGACACCCAAAACTGGTGGGTCCTTGAGAACAAAACTCTCTGCACCTGTTTCCTATCTGTAAGATGAAAGTAGTAACATCCCTTCAGCTCTTCACCTCACGGAAGTGTTGTGGAAATAGTCTTGTGGGTGTTTGCAGGGCAGGTGGGTTCTGCAGTGAACAAATCCAGAAGTGAGCCCACGAGGAAATTAATAACTGTCATCAGGCCCTGGAGTGAAGGTTGTGCAATAAATAGTGGACAGGGCCACACTGTGAATGATAAGAGAACGAAGAACTGCTCATGGACTGAGCACTGTCCAGCCTGTACTCTGAACGAAGGAGGTGTCCTGCAGGAAAGGTAGTACCCCCATATCATTGTAGAACATACCACTACTCATATGAACAAGGGAGCAACATAACATGATGTGGCCATCTTAACAACTTTGGGGGATTTAGCTTTACAGCCTTCACAATGTGTTCCAAGCCATATTATTAGTTATAATGCCGTACAGTACCAGTACTTCCGCAAGATGATTTTAGCAGATGAGAAAGAAGCAATGCATATTTGCTGCTGGATTTCTCACAGGCAGGTACAAGGTGGGTAGTATAGGGTTGAGGAACTACTGCCAAAGTTTTCCTAGAACTACTCTACCTTTCATTCATATGGAGATATTGTCACGTATGCCTAGTTTCATACTAGTTTCATACTAAAGGGGGAGTGAGGAAGCTGTGCATGTCAAGGATGGCCTGAGAAAGCATCTGACAATTGAACTCTTGGGCAAGAGCACAACTCTGGTCTCGTTAAGACTGAACTTTGCAAAATCCAGAATATTGGTGTGCCTACTTTTAAAGTTTTGTTTGTTTTTCCTGCACGTGCCTGTTTATACACGTCTCTAGGTAAATGTTCTTCCTATACACATTTTTATCACTGTCATATTATCAGGGCATGCAATATAATAAACAGATCTGTTAAAGCACCAATGATGTCTCTATTGGCAGACTTATAAAAGAGCTCGCTGACCTTGGTTAATTAGCCATGTAATAAACCAGAACTGAAAGAACCTATTCCCACAAACCACAGCACAGCACCACTCCACCCCCCGCTTGTCAGAGATGCTCTGAATAGGAAGTCAGCAGACGCAATGCAAAGTGCATCCACTTAGCCTTATAGCCCTTTTGAATATAGGCAAAGATTAACAAAGAAATTTCTTTCCAGCCACTGATTAAGAAATAGTCTTTAAAACAAAAAGATAAGTTTTCCAAATACTTGTGGCTATTATTTCTCTTCTCTTACTGACTAGTTATATTTATAGATAGATAATTATATATATTTCTGAAGCATCACAACACTTCCACTACAAAAAATCTTGAAAAGTCCTTCTACCCCTTTCAGAAATGTTGCCCACAAATTATTTGCTTTATTAGGTTTTATGTTTGTTTCAGATACTCCTAAGAAATATCTAAGCCCCTCAATTAATTAATAGCTAATATTGTATTCTGTAAGTAGAATATATGTTGTACCCACACACACACTCCTCTTGAATTATAACTCATGTCAATACAAACAGTACAGAAAGGAGTGTTACACTGTCTAGCAGGAAGTTTAGTTTTTGTTGCTCAGTGGTTTTGAATAAAAAGCAAACCTAAAAAATTAAGACTATTCTGTAAATAAAAGATGTTTGTCCTTTTATCTGACGGCAGAAAGGAAAAAGAATCCAAGTTTTTTAGCAGATTCTTTGATTTTGCCCTGTCAGAGTCTTTAGCAATAGAACAAAGTTCTTATTTAAGTACAGGCAGAAATGACTGCAGTTTTAAAGTCTTAAGTTTTTAAAGTCACGTCAGTTCATAGCAAGCATATCCACGACGCAGTCACTGAATTAATATTTTCCTCATGTGCAGTAATTTTTCTGATTGCTATAGGAGATATTTCTTTCCTCAGCAAACTTGCTTGAAGCACATGAATCTATCCTTTCATGGCATATTCCTGAGTTCTGGCACTACACACAAACCAAAAAAATGCCTTAAGAGAGACTAACACTGATTTTCATACCATTAACCGTCACTTTCATACAGGACAAAGATTTACATTTAATACAACCCCCCCCCCCCCCCCCCCCATCTCACCCATTTTTCTATTAACGCCCCCCCCCCCCCCATTATCGGCATCAGCATTTTCTTTAACTGAACTTATTTCTTGCTCCAATCCTCTTTTCATTTTCCAAGTGATCATTAAAATTATAGGCTCACTGTTCCTATACAGTAAAACTAAAGGAGACCACTCTAGCTTTAAAACCTGTAAATCTATTCATCCATTCAGGATTGTTTTGGTTACAGTCATTTCTTTCAGTACTGCAGATCATAGTAAATTCAGAACAGAGAAGAATAGAGAGTTGCAGTGGGTCTGCCAAATAGTCTCCATTATCCCAAGAAAGTTTTAGAATATCATGCACAATAGCATCCTCAAAAAATCTGGGATTATAGCTGGTTGATAACAGAGAATGCAAGAACAAAGTTCTTCCTAGATCTTCTTGATCAAAGAATCCCAAAGTAAAGCAGGAGACTCATTTTAGAAAAATAGATTTGCCAACTCATTCTCTGTGTTTTCTAATGTGATCCAAAAGATCTCTGCAATATATTTAAAAGCTCAGAAAGCTACATTGTTAGATAGCTAGTTCAATAGACAATGCGCATATATCTGTGTATGTTTGTTTGCCTATATCAAATTGATTATTTTATGTGCTGCAAATACAAATGCTAGTACTCATACAGGAATGAGAGCAATTCCTCTCACTCACAATAAGAATATGTATAAAAGGTTCAGGATCAGACCCTTCAGTTGAATTTTCTGTTAGGTATTCAGCTTCTAGGATGACTAAAGCCATATAAAAAGCCTAATCAGACAGAAAGAGTGGTAGATACATATGGTACAAAGGATCATTATAGATTAACTTGAAGTTGCAGAAAATAGCAGCAAGCAAGCAAAGAAAAATGAAACAGGGAATTGTGAGTTAATCACTTTCCTTAGACCCTGACACTATAAACACTTCTGCAAGGCAGATCAGCTTGACCCTTCCCAGGAATGAAGCTGAACACACATTTAAAAGCTAGCAGAACTGAGTCGTTTAGTTTACAAATATTTTGCTTTAGTTTAAAAATGTTATGTTGCATAAGGTACATTTTGTTAGAAGTATAACCGTCCCACCAAGAAAAGTTAATTGTTCCTGGAAATATGCAAATGAACTGTGATCTCCTCTGGCAGACCCTGATCCTGCCACTTCCTACATGTTAGTAGAGCCACACTAAAGCTACAGGAACATAGCGGTGAATCCATAGGATGTGATCCAAGGCCCAGGAGGAGTTATGCTGAAGGTGTTCAAGGTTAGTCCAGCATATCACTTGGGAAATCACAAGAGCACTAATCTAGAAGTCAACTCACTTGCCGTGGAGGTTTGCCACTGCTGCACAAACATATACCTGAGCATATTTTCTTAGCTGCAAAACGCATGTGCCCCAGAAGAGAAAAGTTTGGAAGTGTCAGCTGCAGGCACGCTTCTCCTCTCCGATTTTCAGCTCCTTCAGATTTGCAGGAGCTAAGCCTGGAGGATGATGCCCTCCTCTGGCTATGCATCCCCTTTTCATCAAACCTCAGCGGCTGAAGAGAAATCACTTTGAACACTGAGGCGGGGAGCTAGAGGCAATTACTTGTGATTGATAGCACTAAATATGAAACCGCATGTACCTCATCCATGAAGCATGGAATCAGCAGCATATTGTTAGTGGGGGAGATGAATGGGACTTGAGATAACCTTGGCAAATTAGGCATATGTTAGCATTAAGCTTTGTCAGTAAGCAGCCTATAAATTACAGACATATTGTAACTCCATAAACTCATCTAATGAATTGAATGACAGTGGTAATTTAAGGCAGAATGGAACTGTTTAACCCTTTTAAGAATTTAGCTGCATTTCTATATTATGCAACAATACAAACTGTATTAAAAGGAGGGTGTTTAATATATACTACAAGATAACCTAAACATAACAGGGAAACGAGTACTCTATGTTTCATGTACATTTTAACAAACAGTTGGTAACCTGTGAATTACCTTACTTACGAGTTCATTAAAAAACAATGAAAAAAGCAAGGAATAGCTAGAGGGGGACAGATTCCTTCATTCTCTTATAGTTTTATCATTACTTTTCTGTCTAATCAAGCTAAACATACCTAAGCAATAAGACACAGCACGCTGTGCATTTCTGAGCTACTCCTGAACACCTTGGGAGGTATTAAAAGGCACGAGGTTAAAGGGCAAGTGACTTTAGTCACAGGAGAAGTACAATAATCCCTTCAAAATGCATGGCCTGCAGTGTCTTATTGCTATTCTGAAATAGAATTTATTAATGAAAATAAGAGGCAGAAGTCAGACTCCTGCACTTACTGGCTGCTATTGACAGACTTATGCCATCAGTGACAGCTAATCTGGGATTCTGAAGCCATTTTCTTTTTTACTGTATATTTCAGCCAAAGTCACATTTTGAAATGACTAGCACATCAGTGGCATAAAAGAGCTTAAAACCTGAACTAGCAAATTAAATGCAGTATGTCATTATTTAAAATGTGTTGACATAATAAAAAGTATTTTTATTCTTATTCAGATAGTGGTAACTGAAGGAATGAGTATACCAATTATACCATAGGTACAGTTGCTTGCTCTAAACTAACAAATTAAGAAATAAATGATACCCACTTAAATTTTAGGAAAGCACACTTTTTCACACACCACAGCTTCTAGGCACTTGATGTTGACATTCACATAAAACACTGAAAATTTTCCTATCAAACTTTTGTGGAATATTTACCTTAGAATATTTACCATCATTCCCTTCAAAAATACGTGTCAAATGAAACAAACAGGAGCATTTATCTCAGTGCCAAGTGAATATAGAAATCAGAGGGTCAGTCCTATGGGTTACAAGGTTAGAAGAGGGCCTTAGCGGAAGGGACAGTAAACAGAAAGTGAAATTCCTGACACACAACGTTTTTTATTAAGTAAATAATTATTACTTCTGCTACCCATCCATGATAATCAGCCACAGGAGTAAATGTAAGGTCATCTAGAATGAGCAGAGTGTCATTGGAGCAACTTATTTGGGTTGAGACAAAGAGACTGGAGTAATCAAGGTGGGGGAAGATAAAGTGGGAGAAGAGGTAGATATCGTAGAAGAAAAAGGATGGGTTCCAATGATAGCTCAGTGTGAGAAAAGGAAGGAGGGATCACTTTATAGAAATTTGTCCAGTGTGACACTTTACAGTTAGTCTTTCACACACATTTCTTTTTAGACATTAGCTTTATCACTACATCAGGAAATACGGGTGCATTGCTAGCCCAGTGAAAAAAACGAAGCCTCCATGAGGCTTGCCTGGAGTTACATAGGGAGTCTGCAGAAAAACAAGGAGGAGTCCCTCTTCCTATCAGTCCTGGGGTTTTTTTTTCTTTTTTTTTAATGCCTATAGCATTAACATCACACTTGGAAAAGTGTTTGAGAGGAGAAAGAAGTTTTCTATTGCCAAGAGTTGCAGTATGCTAAATTTGAGGGGGTAGGCAAGATAGCACACTCTGCTGGCCCATAGACATGTGAACCTCTGAATAGGGGTAAAAAGACAGATTTGTGAGCAGCTGGCATAGAGACTTTAAACAAAGCAGAGTTTATCTTTTATATCTACATGCTCATTTTTGCAAACCGAGGGGTTTGCGTTTGGGGCACCGAGGGGCACTGCTCTTGCCAGTGCTTTCTGTATCTGGAAATCTGGAGTTTTCCACTCTCTGGAGCAACTTAGCTGCACGTTATCCTGAAATAGAATCAGTGGACTGTAATATATAAATAGAAATATAATAAGTCTTGTAACCTTGCTTTGATACCAAGGTTAAAAGAGGGTTGGGTTTTTTTTGCAAATAAAAAATAATTATAACACATTTTTTTCCCTAATACATGTGAAGCAGAACTTGGGAGGATTTCCTCAAGTCGTCAGTGGTTATTACTTCCTTTATTTCTATCCACACCATTTTTAAACTGTGCTTCATTAGCTAGGACTAAAACTTAAGGCTAAAGATTCAAAAATCCACTCTTTTTCCCTGGATTGCTGTTTTCTTCCAAGAGAAAAAATTCTGTGGAAAGCTTCCTGGTTTATATGATAATAATGCACAAATATATCTCTGTTTTGTGCGTGTTCGGTGTGACATAGGTTTGAGGCTGCTGCCGCTAGGGTCACAAGGAAGGATTCAAGCGTTTTTGTTGAAAGTAAAAAGGCATGAGAAGCAAAGCTAAATGAAGAACAGGGGTATTACGCTTATAGTGAAAGCATTTAAGGCAACAGTAAGTGGGAAATCAGTAAGCCATGTAAGACTGACAGAGTGAGACAAGAATTTACTCAGAAAATGATCCATTTATTCAGCTCCATTTCTAGATCCAGTAGCCAATGACCTTGTGCAACCAACGAGGACTTTTATGAGAGGACCAAGTAAGAAATTACTCAGCAGTCTGACCTTTTCTTAACTATCACAAAAAGGAAGAGACTTCAAACATTGCATGTTCTGTAACTATTTTTTGTTAATTCAAAAAGGCCACATCCATAAAGGAGAAAAAACTCAGTACTGTAGCAGCTGGTATTGCAATATCTTGCTTCCCAGTGGTATTGCCAGTACCAGGCTTTCTGTGGAAACGGTCCATCATAACCTGGATATGCCTGGGAAGCTTAACTGATGTTGACGCTTGAGTCAGTAATGAAATGAGGAGCGAGCTGCCAGCTATGGCTGAAGTGAACATTGTCTTCTAATCCAAGCTCTGCTCCTGCTGGGTGCGCTCCTGAGTGGTGGAGCGTGCTAACTCGGGTGAACTGCTGTGAGGAAAACCCTTAAACTAATGGGATTCTGAAATACAGATTTCTGCAAAGCAGAAACTGTGGTTTTTAACCAGCTCTAACTGTAGGCTGAATGCTCTTAGCCCTCCCTCACCTTTTAGCAAGGAAAGTCTCAGGGAAAGTGGTGAGGTTTCTACACAGGCACCTTGTACCATCAAATACCT